CGACGGCGGTAGTGCCGGCGACAAGGAGAAGAGGCGGAGGCTAGAGTTTTTGAATGAGGATTTGTGACAGCTAGGGTTTCATGCTCTGATACCATGTAGAAAGAGATAATTGAGAGAGTAAAATCCTAACTTAATTAATTTATTCAGATACTAGAGAGAGATATATATAGTCATACAAATAGGGGTATGGTTAACGGGTCATAGTCCATTAACCCAATACCCAATAGACTTAATTACTATATAGTATTATTATATATATATATATATATATAGAACGATTGGAAGAGAGAATTGAGCAGTGAATTAGGGATATTTACAGCACAGAAAAGAAGTATTTTCTGAGTTATTAGTTAGGGTTTTATTTGGAGAGAATTAGAGATTTGTTGGTAAGATTAATTGGTGAATTCGAGTGATTTATAATCTCAGTTTGTACTCTTCTTCTCTATTAGTGAAAACCTCATCCCCTTCTTGTCCTGTGAACACAGGAAACTTGCCGAACCACGTTAAAATTGGTTGTTTGTGTTCGTGCCGTTATTTTGAATTGTTTGTGGCCTTCTCTCTCGGCGATTGATTTGGTTTCCCGAAGCACATCGGTTGTTTAGCTTTCGCCGCGCACAACAAATGATATCAGAGTTCGGGCTACGCTTGGACTATTTGGAGGAGTAGATCGTTTTGGAGGCTCATTTGGGGCTTCGTTTGGTGATAAAAATGGGATCTTTTTGGTAAAGACTATCTTTTTTAATTTTGGATCTATTCTTTGTTTGTTCCGTTTTGGTTTTTGGTGTTTTGAGAAAAATGGTTGAGAAAAAAAGAGTTGTGGAGGGTACTTCCAGTATGAAAACCGTCCAAAGTTTGAATATTCATTCTATGAAAATAGATGTGAAAAAGTTTAACGGCACAAACAATTTTGGTCTTTGGAGATGTGAAGTCTTGAATGCGCTCAATGCACAAAATTTGGAGGATACTTTGGAGTTGGACAAGAAACCGGACGATATTGAGGAGAAGGTTTGGAAGAAGATGAATCAAACGACGTGTGATATGATTAGATCTTGTTTAACTCAAGATTTGAAATATGATATGATCAATGAGACTTCAGCTAAGAAGATTTGGGAAATCCTAGAGGGTAAGTATTTGACAAAGAGTGTAGAAAACCGTTTGCATTTGAAGAGGAGGCTTTATCGCTTCTAATTGAAGAAAGAAACCTCCATTGGTGATCACATGAACTACTACACGAAGCTTCTTACGGATTTGGCATATGTAGATTGATGATTGAAGATGAGGACAAGACGTTGGTATTGTTGAGTTTCTTGCCTGACGAGGAATATAAAACCTTCGTTCTTACTCTTATTAATGAGAAGACATCTCTTTCGTATAGTGAGGTCACCGCTGTACTTGTAAATTATCAGCTTCGAAAGAAGAATAATAAGACTTCAGTTGAGCCGGTAGCGGAGACATTGGTCATAAGAGCAAAGAGTCCAAATCGAAATAGGAGGTTGTAATCTAGATGGGCACATCCTAGAGTTCGTAGGAATCAGTATGCCTTTTGTAAAGAGGATGGACATTGAAAAACCAAATGCCCAAAGTTAGTTGATCGAGCCAGGAAGAATAAGGGGAAAGCTATTCAAGCTTCAGAGGTAAATGTTATCAAGGCTAGTGGCGACAATTCAGATTCGGATTCTTCAGACTATTCATTAGCACTATCGTCGGTTTGCGTTACCGACTCTACAGAGTAGATATTAGATCTGGGTGCTTCTTACCATATTTATTCTAGGAGGGATTGGTTTTTCAGCTTTTAAGAGTTGGAAAGAAGGGATGCCATGCTTATGAGTAATGATCATGAATGTCCTATTGATGGTATCGGTACCGTTTGTATTAGGATGCTTGACGGAATGATTCGAGAGTTGGATGAAGTGAGGTTCGTTCCTCAATTGAAGAAGAACATCATTTTACTTAGAATTTTGGAGGCAGCATGCTATAGAGTGACCTTAGAGGATGTATGTTTAAAGGTCATATTTGGGTCTATGATTGTGATGAAGGACGTCAGGAGAAAGAATTTATACTATTTGATTGGGAGTACGGTGATTGGTAGAGAATTAACTTATTTGGATTTGGCTAGACTGTGGCATTTGTTGAGGCTGAGATATTAGTTTGGTGAGGAGTGTTTTGACCTGCAGATTGAAGTCCTTTGAGCACATTGGTATGAGCAAAAAGACCGAGGTAGAGTTTGGTACTTCTATCCATTGGTCGAGGGATCTTTTAGATAGTGTTCATTCAGGCATTTAGGGGCCTTCCAATGAGGCATCGTTAGGAGGTAATAGGTATTTGGTTTTCACAATTGGGGACTGTTCTAGGTATTGGTGGGTTACAATCAAGTCCCATTGGTTTGAAGCCCTAGAAGTCAACAACAGATGGAGGAAGTGTGTTGATAGAAAGGTAACCCGTCGTTTTATTTTTAGTAGGGGTTCTTTCTTGCATTTGTGTCGAACTCACGACAGTTTGAGATACTTCATTAGAGAGAAAACATTGGGACGACGAGATGATATGACAGTTTTGATGGGTCGATCCTTACTGGAGGAGGATCGATGTTTGATGTCGAGCATTGGTTTTGGTGTTCGGGTTTCGGCATATTTGGATCATCTTAGTCATAGGTTGTCGACTGCTGCGTTTAGAGATTTTGGATCTGGTGGGGACGCTTTAAATATTGGGTTACTTCGGATGTTTGATCGCCTAGCATTTAGTCACATCGAGGATGTGAGATTTGATCCGATTGTACATTTGGGATACAGAGGCTCATTTGGTTACCAATTGGGAGACTCTGATATTGTTCTGAGCAGGTATGTCATATTTGACTCTCGACAGATGGAGAATGTTGATCAGATCGTTGGGATATCGCAGCAGGTAGAGAGTGATGCTACTCCACGTTGGGTGGAGATTACTCTACGTTCTCCAAATCATTCTGCATTGTTTTGGATTCCAGTTGAGGTGACACAGAGTGGGGATCATATTGATGTAGATGTAGATAATGAGTTTATTGATTCGAGTGCAGCTGGTGGACACAGTTCGGATTTGACTATAGCTGTTGGTTCACCTCAGGTGGAGGTGTTCGGTTCGTTTCACTTTGAGACTAGTGGGAGAGTTATCAGCTGCAGATTTGTTGGTGATGATCATGAAGGATTAATAATTATTCTAGTTGATTGAGGGCCTTTGGAGGCCATTTGGTGAACTACGTGAAGGCTTGATTCTTAAGACAAGATGATACGTAGGCAGTCATTTATGATGCAGCCGGTTTGGTGAGTTGATACCGACATTTAGAGTTTGTTCGCATTCTCGTTTGGGTTCTTGACTTGTTGTGGATAGAATCCATTGTCGTGGATTTGTTCCACTTCATACTGGACGCAACAAGTGAGACGTTTGGTTAGTATTGGTGTCGGCTCAGTTTTGAAAAAACTTTACCGAGATGAAGAATTGTTGAATAGCAAGTTCCTAATATGTTTCCTAATTTGTTTTGGTAACAGGTTATTAGGATTCCTAATCTGTTTTGGTAACAAGTTATTAGGATTCCTAATCTGTTTTGATTTTGCTTTTAGAATTCCTAGTATGTTTTTGGTTTTAGGATTTCTATATATATGGAACGATTGGAAGAGAGAATTGAGCAGCGAGTTAGGGATATTTGCAGCACAAAAAAAAGGTATTTTCTAAGTTATTGGTTAGGGTTTTATTTGGAGAGAATTAGAGATTTGTTGGTGAGATTAATTGGTGAGTTCGAGTAATTTGTAATCTCAGTTTGTACTCTTCTTCTCTATTAGTGAAAATCCCATCCCCTTCTTGCCCCGTGGACGCAGGCAACTTGCCGAATCACGTTAAAATTGGTTGTTTGTGTTCATGCCGTTATTTTGAATTATTTGTGGCATTCTCTCTCGGGGATTGATTTGGTTTCCCGAAGCACATCGGTTGTTTGGCTTCCGCCGCGCACAACATCATATGGGTTGTAAATGAGAATGGACGGTGGCGATCATCATTCGAGGTAGCCTAGTGGGCTAGCTCACAATAAGAATCTCATCTCACCGTTTCATTTTATCATTTCTATAGCTATATATAATTATATAATTCTTATATTTTGGTTGATAATTGTGTGCACAAAACATTGCTGACCTTCTGATTTGTACCAACAAAACCCCATGATCTTTTGATTTGTTCCCACAAAACCCACCTAACCTTATGCTTC